GGACATTGTTTCGTTCTGCTGTGCATGGGGTCACTATGAGTCGGTTCCGACTCAATGGCACCTGACAACAACAACAACAAATAAGGTAATTAAATAGAGAGAAACGATGTGTGCTCAACAAAGTTCATTACAGATTTTCATAAGAACAAAACCAGAAATAAGTGCATGCTTTTATCTGTATATTAGATGATCCTTGTCTTTTTTTTTTTTTTAATTGGCATGGAAATAGGTCAAGGGAAAAAGACAAAATGCATGTGGTCTAGTCTTCTTAAGGATGGCTCACAATCTGAGAGAAGTATCTGGCAGTCATCTCATAGGTGTATCTTCAGTGATTGTCACTTTCTACTTTTCCCTTTTGTTTCAATTTTAAAAAGCATCATGCATCATTTTACAGAAGCAATAAAGTTGCTCCATACACAATAAGCCTTCAGTTGTCCTTGGTGCTTACAGAACGAAGTCAGAATGTTTCAGCCTTTCATTCAAGTTCTTGTTGATCTGGCTGAGAGTTATACCTGTTAGTGGCCTTTATCTCACTCATAGGTACACACACCTCCAAGTCTGAAACACCTCTTTACCTATCTGCAATGGTCCTTGAAGAGTCAAATCAAATGCTATCCATTCCCAAAGCCTCTCCATGTTATGTGGACAGTTGGTGGCAACCTCTCTTCTCTGCACCATGTTTTACTCTTTACCTCATCTATTCCCTTCCTACTCCACAGAGGTCCACAGGACCTGACCTAGAGAAGCTGCTCAAAATGTTTTCTTAGACTGAAAGCACTAAATGTGACAGTGGAGAAAGTCAGATGTTTAAACAAATGGAAAACATTCATCTCCAGGAAAAAGTATAATGCTCAATGGAGACGTAAAGGCTGACATTTCCCTTGTCTGCCTAAGTTATTGCTAGGACTTACCTTGTCTTCTTTCAAAGGGTCAAAACAATACTTGCTAATTACCATTGTTACATCAGAACATCTGAGGAAAGTCAAGGTGACTCTTCCAAATGCTTTTGCTTAGAGATGTGTGGAGTTCAGGGTCTCACCTGTTTGACAGTGACTTTTAGCATTTCCAGAAGTAGTAAGGCACCTTCCAGGCACAGCCCGGCTCGGAGAACCTCTTCCCTATGGTGATTCTTCAGGAGCCACTGAAACATGGCTTCCAGGTTGTCCTGAAAGATAAGGAAGGGGTGAAAGAGGATTGTGGTTACACACCAAGGAGATCACTTTTCACACTCAATACGCCCCATTTCCCAAGGGCACCCAGGGGAAGTGTAGTACTAAGTAGCAGAAGCCATGGTGATTGGTCCTCATGGAAAATTCAAGCTCAACTGATGGCGCATAGGGAAATGCACATCTCAGAGAAGGAGCTGGGAGTCCCTAGGTGGCACAAACAGTTAAAATTTTCAGCTTCTAACTGAAAGATGGGAGTTTCAAGCCCACCCAGAGGCACCTCAGGAGTAAGGTTTGGCCATCTAGTTCTGAAAAATCCGCCATTGAAAACCCTATGTAGCATAGTCCTACTTTGACACACCGAAGATCATTCTGGTTACAGGTTTGTAAGAAGGAGTTGACAACCCACTAGCAATCACGATCAACTTAGTATTTGGTGGCTGGTATCACATGTACTCACTGTTGTAAGCAATTTGATAAATTTTAATAAATGAGATCATGTAAGGAATACGAAGAATACAAAGGATTTTGGAGATAATGTGGAGTGAAGTACAGAGTGTATGGGGTCTAGAATCAATTTTCCTCTTTAATATGTGGGCTTTGACAAGCTCTTCAGACTTTTGGCCAGCCTAGTTTTCTTTGCTGTGAAATGACAATTACATTACCTACCCCATGCAGTTATTATAAACATCAGGTGACATAAAGCACAAAAAACAGGTCCTGGTGGTTATGTACTGTGGAGTTGGTTCCGACTCATATCACCTCTGTATAGGGTTTCTGAGGCGGTAGATCTTTACAGGATCATACTGTGGTGGCTTGTGAGTTTCTGTGATTCTGAAAGCTATTAAACCAGTATTTTAAATACCAGCAGGGTCACCCATGGTGGATAGGTTTCCCATGAGTGTCCAGACAAAGACAGACTAGGAAGAAAGAGTGATGAACTACTTGCAAATATTTAGTCACTGAAAACCTTATGAATAGCAGAGAAACATTGTCAGATATAGTGCCGGAAAATGAACCCCTCAGGTTGGAAGGCATTCAAAATGCGACTGGGGAAGAGCTGCCTCCTCAAGAGTTGACCATGATGACACAATGGAGTAAAGTCCATGGGAGTGAAGCCAGCGGGACCTACATTTGCTGATGGGGCACAACTCAAAATGAAGAGAAACAGCTGTAAACATCCATTGAAAATCGAAACATGGGATGTATGAAGTATGACTGTGGGAAAATTGGAAATTGTCAAAAATGAAATGGCATTAGTGAGCTGAAATGGACTGGTATTGGCCATATTGAATCTGACAACCACTTGGATTACTATGCCTGGAATGACAAATTGGAAAGGAATGGTGCTACATTCAGTCAAAAAGAACATATCCAGATCAGTCATGAGGTACAACGCTGTTTGTGAAAAGATAATACCCATGCACCTACAGAGAAGCCCAGTTAATACCACTATTATTGACACCAACCACTAAACCAGTGAGGATGAAATAGAAGAATTCTACCAACTTCTTCAATCTGAA